ACTTATCCATGGGCATATTAATCAGTGATTTTGTTAAGCGAAAGCATAGCTTGACACTTCACAATTGGAGTACCCTTCAAGGATGAAGTTAGCAGATTTCGCCAATCTGGGGCAATCAAGTTGAGAGTCGATCTCTCAGATTTCATTCAAATCTGGGGCACTCCCTCAAAGCTGTCAATCAGAGCATATCACGTCGATAAATCTCTTCAAGTTGCCATCAATCAGAGGCTATCACATCAAGAAATCCATTCATAATCCATTCAACCCGGGGCAGTTACGTCGAGATTCGACAAATCTCTCCAAGGAAGCTGTAATCAAGAGCAGTTTATTTCATGGTTCAAGAGATTGGGGCAGGCCACCTCATATTGTATTATGGAACGAATATTCTTGTCTTCTATTCAATATAGATCTCCTCAGAAATCTCACAGACAGGGGCATCTTTCATTCTTACTTGCAAAGTTGCTCAAGCCGATTATGTTGCACGAGACCACTACAATCAGCTAAAAGCATCATAACGATCACCCTGACCTAACCAGCATACGAAGCTGCCTTCATCTGTTACAAACAATTTCAAATCTGATTCCCCAAGTGAGTTCAGAAAATTCGGAGTCGTCGTTTGACTCAACACGCGCAAGTGCATCCCCAGTGGAGTTAATCAAGAATGTCCCCAATGAAGCTAAACTGGGGCATTCGCAGAGCTAAATCGGGGCATTCATAGGTGTCCATGCCCATCTCTTATCCCCAAGTGATTCAAGAGATAACTCTCGAGTGTGTGTAAACTGGGGCAGGTATTCGGAGAGGTTCACATGGTGTTCAGTATCCTTTCTTCGCCATACTTAGTTCTATCATCCTCTCGACGGTTAAGGATGTATGGAAGTCTGGACATATTATCTCTTCCCCAAACGGTATGATTCAGAATCCAGCAGCGTACCTGAAGACTCGCTTCGTCAGCAATTCAATCTTTAAAAGAGTCATCAACAATCTTCGATATCATGGGCCCCTAGTGCAAATTCTTATCAGTATCCCCAATGACCTTTGATATTGCAGGCTTCCAGTGTCGATATGTATTAACATCCTCGGTGATGAACAACGATTCCCAGTGGGCCTTCTCTTATCCCCATGAAGTTTATTTCCTTGCATTGCATATAGTTATCATTACATAACATTGCATCCTCAAAGGCGTGTTGTCGATCCATCAGCACAGATCTTTGCGGCAAGAGAAATTCAAACATGCATACAAAGCATAAGCCATATCAGGTACCCTGCATGAAAGATCTGAATCATTCAAGGACAATAATACATCCCTACATAAGGATATCATTCCCAAAATCCCAAGTCGATGACCTTCACCTTTTCGATGCCCAACAAAATCAATACACTTTGTCATTCTAGACCCAGTTTTCTTCTGGTAGACAACTCCTGTCTGAAAAATAATTCAGACTTCCAACACTCGTTCGTGTAAATTCCTAAACACTCGTCGTGACAACTTCCAACACTCGTCTGTGTCAGTTCCCTAAACACTCGTTCGTGTAAATTCCTAAACACTCGTTCGTGTAAATTCCTAAACACTCATCTGTGTCAACTTCCAACACTCGTTTGTGTCAGTTCCCAAAACATTCGTCGTGTCAACTTTTGAACACTCGTCGTGTAAATTCCTGAACACTCATCCGTGTCAGTTCCTAAACACTCGTCTGTGTCAGTTCCCTAAACACTTGTTGTGTCAAATTCTGAACACTCGTCGTGTAAATTCCTAAACACTCATTTGTGTTATCTCTTCCTTGATACTCGTCCGTATCTTCCTTCAGTACTCGTCTGCATTGATACCAACACTCATCCGTGTTATCTCTTTCTTGATACTCGTCCATATCATCCTTCAATACTCGTCCGTATCTCCCCAAAATACTCGTCCGTATTGGTTCAAACGCTCATCTGTGTTTTAACCTTTCTTGATACTCGTCCGTATCTTCTTTTGATACTCGTCCGTATTAATTCAAACACTCGTCCGTGTTATCTCTTCCTTGATACTCGTCCGTATCTTCCTTCAGTACTCGTCCGTATTGATACCAACACTCATCCGTGTTATCTCTTTCTTGATACTCGTCCGTATCTTCCTTCAGTACTCGTCTGTATCTCCCCGTAATACTCGTCTGTATTGGTTCAAACGCTCATCTGTGTTTTAACCTTTCTTGATACTTGTCTGTATCTTCTTTCGATACTCGTCCGTATTGATTCAAACACTCGTCCATGTTATCTCTTCCTTGATACTCATTTGTATCTTCCTGCAATACTCGTCCATATTGATTCAAACGCTCGTCTGTGTTTAAACCTTTCTTGATACTCATCTGTATCTTCTTTCGATACTCGTCCATATTGGTTCAAACACTCGTCCGTGTTATCTCTTCCTTGATACTCGTCCATATCTTCCTGCAATACTCGTCCGTATTGATTCAAACGCTCGTCTGTATCTTCTGTCAATACTTGTCCGTATTGATTCAAATACTCGTCCATGTTATCCCTTCCTTGTATTGGCATCACGTCACGTTACAAGTCTTCTTTGTCCTTGTGTTTGCTCATGCCACCTCCCTTTTAATCATCGTGTCCTGATCGATGTATTCCTGTTAGCCATCGTGTCCTGATCAATGTCTTCCATTTAGTTATCGTGTCCTGATCGATACCTCTCCTCGGACCATCATGTCCTGATCGATGCCTTCCTTTTTATTATCATGTCTTGACCAATACCACCACCTTCTTAGAACCTGATATTGCCTCTTGGCTAGGTTCTTCCCATAGATCACCGTCGAACCTGAGATCGCCTCTTGGCTAGGTTCTTTCCATATGTATCTTGTCTTAGAACCTGAGATTTCCCTTAGGCTAGGTTCTCTGTCAAATCACTCTCATGTTTCACCTTAGGATCGTAGGTCGCCCGTAGACCTCGTCCGCTGTCTTTTCATACCAAACATTTGTCTTGTATTGGCATCACGCCACGTTACAAGTCCAATCTCTATCTCTTCACTAAAAAAAACAAAAGAATTCTTCCCCCAAAAATAAATAAATACTCACACTTCCTCCCAGGACAAATTTTTGGCATTGATATTTAATCATCTTCAACCTTGAACTTCCGAAAGGCACGCACCAATCGTACTTTCAGGTTTGAAGACGGTTAAATAGGGGCAGCTGTAATACCCCAAATTTGTCCTACCCTTCACTTTTATCTGTCTTATGCGCTTCACGCTTTTCACATGTACATAACCTTCGTTAGGTCAGTTAACTCCTCATGCATCATTCATCAATAGATTTTGCATAAGGTCAATGTTTATGGACGGGATTAGGGTTTTGGCAATTGATTGAGGTGTATATGGTCAACAAAGCTTGATTCTTCTGGTTATTCTTCAAGACAGTGAAATTGTGGAATTAGGGTTTTATGTTCATGGATATTGTGGAATTCTTTCTTATCAAGCTTGTCGAGTTCTCCTTCAAAGGGTTATGACTTGCTAATACATAACTTTTCACCAAAACCTTAAATAAAGACTTTGCAAGTTAGGGTTTGGGAAGATGTGGCAAGCTAGGGTTTGGACCCTCTCATCATCTCAAATCCATCTCAAGAGGATCAGGGTTTTATCCCTGGTTCTTGCGCTTGTTAATTCTATTAAGGTTCATCAGAGGTGTTTCCCCCTGTTCCGAGTATCCTTTTCAGTTTCAAAGGCTCTTCAATGCATTTTGTCGTGTTGAAGTAAAATACAAGTGCAAGTAATGGCGGGGAAGGTGAACTCGTCGACTCATTCAAATTAACCCAATTCTGGTTCTCTTCATCGTTACTGGTTGTTGGCAATATAAGTTGGTTTAGAATTAAGATTGAATTGGACTAATTGATCTAGATTTACTGATTGGTGAATGTTCATTCAAGTTGCCTAATGTGTTTTCAATTTTGCTCACATAGTTGAAGAGCTTGTGGATAAGGTTTTCTTAAGAAGTCTTCTAGTTCCATCTTATTTCGTATAGCCAAAGGTTCTTTCAAAAAAGTAAGACATAGTAATTCATGTATGGGTGCAAAGTCAAAGAAGATTGTGAATTCTAGTTCTAAACTGAGAAAGGAGAATCATATTGAATCTTTTGAAAGAAATATTGTGTGAGTTCAAAGACTCGTGAGGCATATTTTTAGATCAAGGTATTAGGACTTCAAATATTTAATACATCATCATGTAAAACCAAAAGGGAAAGATACATATCCAGATTTGTCGATTGAGGGATTAGTCCATTGCAATTTCAAGATGTTACAAAATATCATGTCACGTTCCAAGTTTTGATCATAAGCTTGTTCACCTATTGGAAATAATCGAAAACCGTTATAAATTCAGATCATTACACCAATGGTCCATAAAAGAAACTGTTACAAATCTATGTTACATCATTTATAAAGAAACGAATTGCAAGAAAAAGCTAATTCTAAGCACCACCCCTTCTTCATGCTTCAAGGCCTTTTGTAATGCGTCCTCTTCAAAGGGGCTTCGAAAATAAACCTTAGCCCTGCTCATTTCAGAAAAGTCAGAATTAAACCAATTTCCCTAACAACCTACTAACCAATTCCATAACAACTTCCAAACAAAATTCTGCCTAACTCAAAAAAACCAACTTGCAACAAAAAGCGATAACAAAATTTTCTAACCAGGCTGTAACAAAAAAACAGAAAAAGAGAGGGAGATAACAGAATCTATAACAGAAGATAGCCTATAACCAATAAATCCTCTAACCATTTTTCTAACAGCCCATTCCAAAACAGCCCTGCAAACTTCTAACATAAATCATATAACTACCCTTCTAACTATTTCATCTACAACTAACAGATCAATCTTAACCATTGGAGTCCCTAACAAACTTACCAATCTATGGCTCAGATCAATAGCTCATGTAACTAACTTTCAGATTCTAATAGAATTATATAACAAAAAACTCACCAGATTTATCTCATTCTTCAATTCTTTGAAGAATCACAGAACAAACTCTCATATCTTCTCTCTGTTTTCTTCTTCAACCTTCCATAATTCTTCAATCTCTGGAGAATCATCACAAAGAAATCTCTCAAAGTTCTCTCTAAGCTCTCTCATCTTCTCGTGCCAAGCTTCACCTATGCACTTTCTCTTCTCCCTGTATTCGCAACAACTACCACACTTCATCATCTTCGTCGCGTTTTCATCATCATAACCGTTCAGCAACGCACCATTCATCATCTTCATCATTCTTCACTCTCTTGAGAATAAATCTTCGTCCTGCACAATAATAAATCTTCTCATCCTTCCATCATCATCTGCAACAATCGCACGCAGAGCGACAACAACAACATCACAATGCAGTCACAAAAACACACAGAAATGCGAAAGTGAAGAAGATGAAAAGAGACAAGAGCAAATATTAGAGGTATACATGAGTCTCTATTTTTTTTGCTATCGCAGCTAAAGGTGCGCCGGACGGACGCCGGTAGGTAAGTCTTATTTCCTCCTCTCTTTTCCCGTTTTGGATTTGAAATATGAGTTTTTGAGGATAATGACTGAAGAGGGAGAAATGGAGCGGTGAGATGAATAAATGAGACGCGGTGGCGATTGAAGAAGGTTGAACTGTCATTATGACAAAAGTGGACGAAAAGTTAAGGTTGGGTTCTTGTTGAAGCAGAGGGATATGGAGAAGACGAAGCAGTAAGATAAGATGGAAGTTATGGCTAAATGGCGGCCGCTGTGTGAAGAAGATGAAGAAATAGAGAAGGATGTCACGCCGTCTGAACATAAGAGGGGAAGATAATTTTGATCTCACAAATGGGATCCCAATCGTCACCCCCTTTTGAACCCTAATCCCCTTCAGTTTACCTTAAGTCACTTAATTCTTCTTTTCAATTTTTAATTCAATAAGAATCCAAAAACTCTGTTATAAAACAAGTATGCTGGAAATTGGAGATGAATTGAAAATTTGCATGTGTTGTTGATTGGTGCGGGCCGGATTACATCCACTCTCTTGGTGTGTTACAGTTTTTTATATACAAATTGCCTTGGACAAAGACAGCAAAGCAAGTTTATTGTTATCTGGGCTTTGCGCCTATGTTTCTTCTCATCAAATCGCTCTAGGCACGTAATGCATTTTTTTGGGACCCTGGATGGCATTGAACAAAAACAGTTTATCAGATTCAACCTGATGGGCCTTAGCGCCTCCATTTACTACTACAACACCTCTGGTTCCAATTTTCAACCACTGACTCTTTCTAATTTGATGTTACCTGATCAGACTTGGACCGTCACGACTGGCTCCGAGCAGAAGTTGAGTGAGATGAGGGGGGGGGGGGGGGGTACCTGCAAGGCACTCTGATGCTAAAATGAGTGACGGAATGAGCAGGTAAAAAGCGTATGTATGGGTAAGAGATGAATACCTGACCCTCTAGGAACATAGGGTATTTATAGCCCCCAGCGCGGGGCCAAGGTCCCCTCATTGGGCCGACCAGAACTGGCCCAATAAAGTAACTACCAAGTTCTACGTGTGTAGTGGGGACCCGCACATGGTCTCCTTCTTGGTGATTCTCTGCGAGAAACGAGGAGGGACGAAGATGCGGTCTTTCCGGAGTTCAAGTGATTTGGTAACGGTCATAATCTACCCTACGAGGAGGGTGCTCGAGCTGGAGTTCCCGTGGTCGGGGACACCATGTTCGCGGGTAATGACGGGCACGGCTGCAGTCGATGGTCGGGCGCGCTAGCGGGAATCCTCGGGCGCGCGCTCCTCGAGGAGTTGCTTGGATTGGGCCTTCGTTCTTGCTTTTGGGCCAGGGCGGGCCCAATCCAGAACAGGAGCCCCCCAAGTCGTGGCTTCTGGAGCAGGAGTTATGACTTGACCTCAGCTCGCCTTTGCCACGGGGTCTGATGCGCGGCCCAGGATATTTGCTTCCCCGTGACTGCTCGAGAAGTTTCCCATGAGTTGCGTTCGTGGCGTAATCCTTGTCGATACGTGCTCGAGGGATTCCTCGCAGGTTGTGTTCGTTGGGTACACGAGGCAACCCTTGGGAACCGTGACGCCACCCTAGCGAGAGTAGGGCCATCATTGTCTAGGGGAGTAGACGTCGAGGAGGGGAAGTTCGTGGTTCCCCGGGGTGACGTTTCGTATTCCACGTCATCCCTATAAATAGGATCCTTGGGTCCCATAATTTGTTTTTCCTCTTCGCGCTTCTCCTTCTTCCTCTGCCTTTGCTGCCGTTGTTTCTCTACAACTTCGTAAGATTACCATACCTTCCTCCGTTGATTTTCTCCACCGCTGTCGTACCTTCTTCTTAACTTCCAAGTAAGCGTTTATCCCTCATATTTTTCTTCGTTGTAGGTAATTTTTCCATTATTTGGATGTTAGAAACCCACATCTGGGATTAGCGCCCAGTACATTCATGTTTGTGCCCGGCACATTCATTTTTGTGCCCGGTATATTCATGTTTGTGCCCGGTAAACTCATAGCTTTAGGTATGTGACTCGCGATGCTGCCCGGGACCTTCATGGTTTTGGGCACATAATTCTATGATACTGCCCGATAAACCCATAGTTCTAGGTTTAGGATTCATGATATTGCCCGTCACATTCATAGTTTAGGTCGGCGTACCCATGGCTGGCCGGGATGTTGGCCCATTAAGAAGTATGTAGGACAACTCGTCGTGGCACCTTAGCGTCCTCAACGTTTTAACGCGCGCGGAGTGTGTCTTAGCTTGTCGTGCCCTACTTCCCGTCAGTTATGGCAAGAATATGGATTTGCTCTCGAATTTCACCGGTTTCCTGTGCTTTGTAGGTAAATGGCTGATGAACCGGAGTCTTCGGGGCGTAATGAGGTCGAGGACCAGAGTGCTGAGGAGAATGTAACTCTAGTTGATACCGTTGATGATCCTTCGCTAGATTGGGTGGGCGCCGAGCCCCGAGGGATTGCCTCGGCATATAGTCGGTGTAGTCGGAGCGCCTACACTATCGTCGAACACGGCGGTAGTCAACCGGGCTTCCAGAAGAACTTTGTTGTCACAAGGCCGTCTCTCGACGCGCGGATCTGCTCGGAGTTCTCTGAGTATGGTTTTCCCATGTATGAAATCGCGTTCAAGGACCTCGGCCTTAAGCTCCCTTTCAGTGATTTCCAGGTTGGGGTGTTCTGCCATATGGACTTGGCCCCCTCGCAGCTTCACCCCAATTCGATCGCCTTTCTTCAGGCGTTCGAGCTGACATGTCGCTTCTTAAGGATCGGGGCGACCATTCCTCTCTTCTTCAGAATTTTTCACTTGCAACGCCAGTCTCGAGGAGGCAGGCATAGTTGGGTTTCCCTGAAAAAGTCGAAGAGGCTGTTTAGGATGTACATGGATTCGGTCCGGGGTTTCAAGGACAAATGGTATATCGTGCGGCCGGTTACCTAGACTGCTCTGGATTTTATATATGAAGAGGAGACCGCAGTGGCCGACGAGAACGGGGAGCCTCTTATGGACGACGAGGGTCGCCCGGTGTTGGGGCGTGTATCCAAGTTCCCGCTGCATTGGTGCTCGCTCCATTACGAGCATGGCACCGGGCACTACCATACGCCCACGGGAGGGATGAGTGCCGAGGATGAGGAAGCCTATGGTACCCTTTGCAAGTATGACGACAGCTTCTTCCCTGCTTGGTGGGTCACGAGGGAGGGGAAAGAAATTCTTGACGAGGAAGGTTACCCGACCTTCGAGGCCCGTCCTATAGATACCAAGGCGCTTGTCGAGTGCCAGTCCTACGGGCAGGCCGTGGACCTACTAGGTTGCTTTTTGTCTTATAGTTTTGTTCTAGTTTCTTTGTTTGTTACTTGCTCGTAACTAACCCGGGTTTTCTTCTTTGCAGGAAATATGTCCGGACGAAGGGAGAGGCTTTTAAAACTGACTCAGGACAAGAAAGTCAATAGAAGGTTGGTGCGAGCTCCACAGGCAACGAGATTGGGCCCGCCAACCAGTTCAGGTGATGCTTCTAGCGGGTCCCCAGACTCCCTTGACGTCGAGAAGCCCACTGAGCTGATAACGAGGAAGAGAAACCGGGTAGAGAATCAGTCGGAAGTCGGCGACGAGTCTATCGCGGTGAGGGCCTTTGGCTTGCCCCCCTGCTTTAAAGAGGAAGGCTTCTTCAAGGGGTATCCCTTGACAGTGAGTGTCGAGGAGGCTGAGACCATCAGGCGGCTAAACAAAGAGAGTCGGAAAAACATTTGGCCGCCAATATGGTCAGGATGGTTAAGATGGCCGAGATGGCCGTTGTCCTCGTTGAGGAGGGGTCGGACTCCTCTGACCGCGTCAGGGAACTGGAGCTAGAGAAAGCTGCCCTCGCTGCCGGCTCTTGTAAGTTGAAGGCTGCTCTGGAGCGATCTGAGGAGATGTTCCGCGAGCAAGCCGAGCTGCTGGCCGTGGAGAAGGAAAACTCGGGGAAGATTGCCGAGGAGAGGGACTGTTTTTGACTGGACCGAGAACGTTTGGAGGCCGACAACGAGCGTTTGTCTAAAGAAGTCCAGGATCTGAAGGCTGCCATGCTTCCCGCTGAAGATGAGTCGGAGGAGACAGCCCTCTTGCAAAATCGCTCGGATTTGGTCGCGCGCATCCATCTCCTCGAAACGGACTGTGTTGGTGCTTTAGCAGATGGTTTTGAGGCCTCGGTTATCCAGCTCTCCTTATTGAATCCGGGCATGAATACCGAAGGAGTGGGTTTCATGTCCCAGATCATCGATGGCCAGGTCGTGCCTCCTCCCGAGTCTCCTATCGTGGATGCTGGTAGCCCCGGGGAAGTCTAGCCGTGGAATTCTGGTCGGGCCTGCGCGCCTGTTTATTGGTATTTATTTTGGGGCCTGCGTGCCCGTGCATATTTTTAGGGCCTGCATGCCCGTATAAATTTCTTTCGGGCATCGTGCCATAGCCTGTAATTTCTGAATATCGTCGGCCTTCTTGGTCGATTTATTTTTATTTGTTTTTTTCTTACGAGCTTTTAAATGGGTGTTTATTCCGACCTTTAATATTTGCTCATGTCTTAAATTTTTATATTTATGATGACATTTGCCTAAGTTATGTCCCAGAGTCTCGCATGTGCTCGGCTGTTACTTTGTGGCGAAATTTGCCTATTTCCTCGGGGCACGCTTGTGCTCGGCTTGTTATTTTATGGCGAAATTTACCTAAGTCATATCCTCGAGTCACGCTAGTGCTCGGCTGTTAATTTTGTGGCGAAATTTGCCTAAGTTACGTCCTCGA